GTGAGATATATTCAAACATTTTCGTTAGAATTTGTATTGGAAAACATCTAAATGTAAAGTACTAGTGAACGAAAAACGAAGTTTTATTACTTGCGTTATTAAAAGTCTTGTATAACATTTCTTAAGTTAAAACTAATAGTTTTTCAAAAAAAAAGGAAAAAATTTAAAGTAATATTTTATTGATACTTGGTGTTACTTCTTTTTTTTTATAATAATTTGTCATAAAATTTTGAAACTTATGTGTTTTTATAGCTAATAAATATTTAATTCTAAATTTTTTTCATTGTAAATATTTAATTCAATTTCATTATTTTGTACAATTTTGCTAAATATATTTTAATAAATTTTTTTAACGAATATTGATTTTATGATAATTGCTTTTATATCGAAGTGCTGTGATCAATATTCTGTTACTTGGAAAGTATATTAAAATAAATAATATTTGAGATGTATCTACGTATATGAAATTTTTAAAGATTGCCAATCAGAGGCATTGCACAATGCATAGCACCCTGCACTTTCGCCTACACATGGATTCGCGCATGTTACTGCGCGTTGGAGAGCCATTCTGAAGGAAGGGTGCCTATACTATAGAAGACGCTGCCGCGCAGGTGGGGAGTCGAGAGTGATCAACGATGAGGGAGTGATAGAGTGTGATCGGGATGGTAAAGGGATTGATAGAAAAATCGAGCGGATGGTATGCCTCGGCATCGTGGCCGTCGCGATGACGTTGGTGACGTCGAGCGATGGCGCTGCTGATGCTTTTACCTTCGTCCTATAATATTTGTATGTATACGTGCACAACAATTATAGTGACGTTGAACGTAAAGCATACTGGAACATACTCGTGAGGTATTCGTTCGCTTTTATGAAGGTGGCGCCAATGTTGGAGGAGCCGGCAAAGGTGGTGGTGGTAGTGGTTACTGATAGTGGTCTCGATGGTAGTGGTAGCAAAGGGTGGTCTCTCTCGCTTGGTCAGAGCTGGTGTTAGAACTCTCTTTCAGTGCGCGCGGATCCGTCGCGCGCTATACCGAGACCCCTTCATCGACTATGGTGGTCATTGGTATACACATGCATATGAATACGTCTATGTGCCGGCGAACAGGGGTATAATCACAGATTCGCGCAATCGCAAATGTATATACGTGTATGTATGCGTACGAGGTGACAGGCCCGTGTTCGACTGCGCGAACGAAGAGGATAGAGAAAGTGGTAGAGAAAAGAGTAAGCGGGAAAAAAATACAGAGAGAGAGAGAGAGAAAGAGAAAGAGAGAGAGAGAGAGAGAGAGAGAGAGAGAGAGAGAGAAAGAGGATAAGCGCGAGGGTGGCGACAAAGGCCGGTAGCGGTAGTGACGGCGGCGGTGGCGGCGTCAGTGCACGGAAGTGGTTGTGCTCCGGTAGTGGACGGTGGATAGTGTAGTGCGGTTGGTCGATTGGATCGGTTGGTCGGTGGTTGATTCGCCGTTGGTCTCGCGTTGCCGTCGTGTTTTATTGAAAACCGGGCGGAACGACGTCGGACATCGTCCACGAGGCGCAGACGGCGAGACGACGACGGGACCGCAAAAAGGGAGAGAAAGAGAGAGAGGCGAGAGAATGAGATCGATAAGGAGGAACCTTAGGCGCTGGTTTCGCGAAACGGAAACGGCGGTGCGCGACGCGTAGAGAAAGAAGGAGACATATATATTTCCTCCTCTCTTCTCTTTCTCCTCCACTTGAGATTGTGAGTGTATGTATGTGTGTATGTGTGTGTAGTGCGCCGACGACGAGCGCACGCGACGAAAGCGAGACATACGCGTGTAGTACGCGCGCATACGCACGCAGGCGCGAGTACGCGCGTGTGAGCGAGCGAGCCGCCGACACACGAGGGTGGAACGAGGTTCGCGAGGAAGGGAACGCGGCCGGCTCGGTTCGTCGACTTGGCTGGCTCGCAAAAGGGCGGTTCTTGGATCCGGAGTACCGCAACCGGAGACCGAGGGAGAGAGAGCGAGAGAGACCGGAAGAGGGAACGCGAGAAAGAATATAAGAGAGAATTCGTTCGTTTGTTCATTCGCGTCTTGTCGGCTCAGAAAGATAGAAAAGTGAAAGAGGAGGGAGTCGATTACCACTTTTTCTCTCTCTCTCCCCCTCGATCTCTGTTCGCCCTCGCTCGATGGGCTACGCCGTCGAAAGAAGGTCAAAGATCGATTCTCGGGCCGACGAGGGTCGTGACCTCGCCATACGCCGCCGCCGAGTACGAAGTGACCCACGCGCGTAGTAGTACTATCCACTAGTAGTACGCCAGCCAGAAGAGTTGTATTTGGTGAGGAGGCGAGGGTAGCGGTGTGGCAATAGGTGGAGAGAGGATCGATCGGACGGAGGATCATCGTCGCGATGCGAGGATGATCGACCGGCAGAAAAGGAATCGAACCGACAGCCTCCATTGAAATTGACGATACGAGGTAGCCGTAGAAAGAACGAGGACCGAGACGATCAATCTCCTTGTCAATGCACGTCGTTCGCGAACGCGCCATCACACGTAGAGTAGAAACGTCCGCGCGCATCTCAGGACACGTCGTTATCGTGTCCGCAATTTGGCGTAAAAGATCGCGAAAGCGCAAAGAGATTGGAAATATATCGTCGTCGGCCATAGCCGGATGCTGGAGCATAAAGTCAGGAACGAAGAGAAGATCAAATCGCCCAAAGAAAGGCGATCGTCGAGATTCCGACGAAGCATCACACCTTCATCATTCGACTGTTACCCTAACTGAAAGCTCGGATAGATCGGACGGACGTCCCGCTGCGATTGAACGGGAAAACGCTCGTTGATGGAATCACCCGTGTAGATAATCAGGCTGATATGAGCGTAAAGACGCATGAAGGTGACGAGGGATTGGGAAACGGTCGCAAGGCGTGACAAAGCGACTACGGAAATTTCGAGAGTCCGGATTATACAGCATTCTCTTCGGAAATTAGAAAACTAGCATTGCCGAAATTGGGAAACAAGGACATGGACAAATCGCTGAATCACTAAGTCGAAAAAGAGAAACGCGTGGATTATTACACAAAACGATTGCGAGGGCGAGAGAATTGAGCGATCGTAAAAGAGAGAACGACGAACACCGACGGAATATCGACGAAACGCTGACGACACTGATTCAAGACGATTTATCGTGCTTACGAGAAGGAGGACGAGGTACGGCTATACGCCGAGGTTTCCCGTAGAATGTCACGGGATCTTTACTCGAGCAGTGGCGTGATCGGTCCAGGTGGTGGCACACGTTCGCCACGCAGCGGTCGTCGCGTGGGCGAACTGCCAACCGTCGATCGCAGTCCGTCGCGAAGTTATGCCAGCGGTCGTGGAAGTCCGCTCGGTGGTCGTAAACGGGGAACTCGCAGTGGTAACAATTCGCCGGAGCACTTAGGCTACGGCGGAGGCTACCATCACCATCAGCTGGGCAGCCCGTACTACTCCCGCGACGAGGACCTCGGCAGTCCCGTGATGCTCGAGGAGAGGGGTAGGAGTATGTCGACCGGGGGCGGTGGGGGCGGACATCACCGATCCAGAAGCGCCTCGAGACCCGCCATGTCCAGCTCGGCGGGCATGGTAGCGCGTTACACCAGCCTCGATCGTGCCTCCGCTGGCGTTCTCGATCATGATCGGGAATTCGTGCCGATACGCGAGCCGAGTCGCGAACGTAGTCGCGATCGCGGACTCTACCTGGAAGACGAGTTATACGGTTCCAGGTCAGCGCGTCAGAGCCCGAATCCGCACATGCTACGCGACGGCGGAGGCTACATCGGTGAGCTCCAGCATCAGAACAACGATCTACAACGTGAGCTCGGTAACCTGAAGAAGGAGCTCGAGTTGACGAATCAAAAATTGGGCAGCTCGATGCACAGTATCAAGACCTTTTGGAGTCCAGAACTGAAGAAGGAACGGGCGTTGCGCAAGGAGGAGAGCACCAAATACAGTCTAATCAACGAACAACTTAAGCTACTCAATTCAGAGAATCAGGTCAGTCGAAAATTCTCTTTTGCGGTCGATTCGCGATGTTCGGTTTAGCCTTGTGAGCGCGTGTGCCGCGTCTTCGTGTGCGTGTGTGGTCGCGTCAGCATAGGATTCGATTATTGGATTCCGTTGGACCCGCACGAATACTGTACGGGATGCTTATAATAGCTTCCCATTTTACGATTAAAACATGAAGAGATGTCCTTAGAAAGCCACGGAAATATATGGAATATCCTGGCCGAGATCATTGCGACTGTCACGTCACGCGCGTCCTTGCGCGAAGGCCGTCCTCTCGAAATCAGGTCGCGGAACGCGACCTGGTGTGCTCGATGTTAACCTTTTTTTATAATCACGAGATTGCGTACATTGCAGAATATTTTAATACTAAAATGTGTTTGACCTAATTATCTCTAACTATGTTTGCGGTCAAGAAGATTATCATATATAAGTAGATATTTGTGTAGTGTATGTTGAAAGGGTTAAATGGGTTAGTCCTCTAAATGGGAATCTTTAGTTCCTCAAAATAAATAAATCGAGAAGATTACGTAATACAGAGTGTTTCTGGATCCATATTTTTCGAGAATAAGACTCCCGTGTATTCTAAATTTTAGTCAGAAACTTATTTTATTTTTTAAGAAAAAAAGTGCAATATTTTTAGAAGATAGTTCATTATGAGGGTAATTAAATTGAATGATGAAAGTGAATGACATCCCCTTTAAAAGGAAGATAGAAAAAATTTAAAAAGATTATATATAAAATGCATACAACGTCAGCTGAAAATGGGTCAACTCATGATGAAAAACTTTTGACGTAATAGAGACTTTTTTATGAGAGAAACGAATTATTATTTTTGCAAAAATTTATGTTGCCTACTATGTTGTCACATTCATATTTTACGAATATAATAATTAAATATATTTCACTCACAAGACACAGATTAAAATTTTCTCTCACTTTCATGATGTCACTAAGAATTCATCACTGAGTTTTTCGATTATTCAGCTCCTTTAGTCATTAGTCAAACTAAATAAAATAGCGGCAATTCATTCTGCAGTAATGACACTGTTGCGGAATCTTATTATCGATTAGCTAAAAATGCAACACAAAGGGGGAGCCACCTTTATGCCGATTTCACGAGCATCGTGTAGACTCCGAAGCTTTTGCGGTAATTGGTCTATCACAATACACGTATTTGCGAGATATATCAATTAACGTTATCATAGGGCGAAGTGCAACGCGTCGCGCAAATATCGCGTAAATCATTCATAATCGACACATACAATACGGCAACAAGTTTCACTCATATCGTAATTTGTGATTGCGTTCATTGTTTTGTAATATTTTACAATGAATCATTTGATACATCGATTAATTAATTAAACGAACTCGTGCCACTCGTGCGAGCTCTGCCAAATTTCTCGATAGACCCGTAATATTTATGATACTTCAGAATTCTGATTCGCGACTATTTCTCTGTGCAATTTCTTAAACATTATAGATCTGTTTTTTGTGGCTAAAGTAGTATACACTTTTGGAGCTTAAGATATGAAATAGATATATATTTGACGAAAACGAAAAAGAGAATTCTAGTGTAATATAGTGCAAGAATAAAAAACATCTTTTAAAATGCAAATTTTTATATAAAACACAAACTTATGCCTAATTGAAAATGATCAATGCATTAATGTATTTAGATTATAAAGATACACATATTGCTGGAATTTAATGCAAATTCTAAAGAATAAACGAAGGATAATTAATCGATTTAAATTAATGTTGAGAAGAAAAGTAAGACTGATCCAATTTTATTTTACATTATATAACTTCACTGAAGATCAACATTAAAAGTTGAAACGTTTATATTTTTTATTATATGATTATTTAAACTAGGGCACGTTAACTTTAAGGTAGCTCAGGCAGCCCTTTATGATATATTTTTGAATTATTATTCACTGAAGTTATTTTATACATTATTTAAATTGAGTAATTTATACATAACAGGTATACAGTCATGGATAATATTTTATCACCGCGAAAACTTTAATAATACACATACATTCACACTATATTAATTAAATCATTATTTTATTTAGTTGCCATCTGTTTTGTGATTTAGCGACCACACAGGGCGTGTTCGTGAATCCGATAAAGCTATTGCATCGAAAAAAAGATACATCGACCTTGTCACAAATGCATGTCACATAAGAACAATATGCAATAGCTTCGCATTTTTCATGAGATCAATTAAAATTCGTATGCTTTGCACATATCGTGTACTTGAATATATCCATTTTTGCACAACGAACATGTGTATCACGTTCACGATGACGTCGAATAAGTCATTGCCCCCGCAAGCGGAAGAATCTCAAAGAGCTAGATGTTTCTCTGGCCGACTGCCCACATTCGTGTACCTACTTCTATCTTCGTTTACTCTTGTCTAAGTAAATGCGTTTTCTTGCAACGTATGTATGTATGTATACGTATATACGAGCTTACATCAATCTCATGTACGCCCATTGTTCCTGACATGCCTGTCTCGTGTAAAATTCGCAATCATGGGCAAAGTACACTATAAATTACGCCAACGATGTTTTTACACTGACAATGATTTGCATTACACGCATCATTTGATAATAACATATTTTCCTAGACACAAAATTAAAGAAATAAATTTATCAATAAATAATGGCGCAATCAGTCAGACACAGTGTATGTGCATAAAATTAAAATTTTAATATTTAAAACTTGAGTTACAAAAATAAAATCCCAAAATATTCCAGTTCACTCAAAACCCATTCTCAATGGGTAACAAAACTTACAAGAGTGAAAACTTACATAAAAATTATTTTTACAATGTTGTCTTCGAATAAAATTCTACAAATAAATTACATTATATTTATTACATAAAAATGAAGAATATTACACAAAAGAAATGTTTATCCTTCTTTTATAAAAGTAATTATGATGCACTAAGTTACAAAAATATAATTTATGCAATAAATGTAGCATATTATTTGTTCTGTTTAAATATATATTTACATCCACATTTTTTTTCATATTAATTCTCAAACGCGATTCATTCATCAGATTTGAATCTTACAATTTCGCGCAATTAAAAAGGGCTTTTAATTAAACGCAAGATCTCATGGTAAAATGTTCTTAGTAATGCCTACGCGGAGAATGTGTGGCACTTTTACAACTGTTAATATTAATATTTGTACTTTAAGCAAACTATATATATGTGAAAGTTTTGTTCAAAACATTCCGTTTATTGAACAATACATTTTTATAGTTCATTCATTTTATTTATTTTTATTGTTATACTAAAATTGTTAAACCAAAATTTCAAAAGCAATAATAAGATCTAAATTTTTTTATAAGTACGATATTCAAAATAACTTATGCAAAGTTTCATTGTAATTCATTGATTAGTTACAAAGATATAGAATAAATAAATATTTGTGTCGAATACAATACATTTCACATCTTCCAAATGGTCTACTCAAATTTTTGTGTTCATTTAACATAAAATGAATATGTTAGAAAACAATACAGGTATTTTACAAAAAAATTGATTACAAAAACATAATGCTGACACAGTTTGTAAAGAAATTGTAAGTATATTTCTTTCAGTTAATTAACATTTATCATATGTTAAAATAACATATTTTATTTGTTTGTCTTAGAATTTGCATTTTAAAGCACATTATTTTTTATGTTTCTTTTTCACTCATAAAGTGTATCACTTTAACACTAAGAAACGTTAAATATCAATTTAAGACAAAATATTTAAATTATATAATTACATAATGTTAAATTAACACTCAAAAATATAAAAAAATTCAACACAGACAGTTAACAAGAATGTGACCGGGTCGTTTCCAACATAAATTCCAACACAATATTCTTTCATCTTGTGCCTACATGGTTTAGTTACTTCAATATATTTTTGTTGAATCTTTTCAGTTCATCTTTGCGGAAAGTTTTCTGAAAAATCGTGTATAATTTTCCGGAACCTGCTGAACAAGCTAATATCATTATGTCACTTTATAAGAAAAAAAAAGATGTACATGGATGACAGAAAGAGATAATTCGAAAGAAATAATTCTCTTTCGTTTCACTCGACGCCAAGAGAGAACTGGAATCTTCGATCGATTCGTACACAACCTCTGGCGAGCTTTTCCTGCACCTTTCTTTTTTTCCATTAGCATCGAGAACCTGAGAATGGAACGCGCAAAAAACGCATTAAATTATTGACAGCAGGCATGAAAAAAAATGGGTTAATCGCAAGTGCAAAATTAATTCTCTTTCTCACAAGTGGTTCAAAATTGCTTCGTAATAATCACTCGCAAAAAATGTCATTTGATTTTTTTCGATCTTATAACATTCTTCTGATGAATAATGATACTCCTTCGACGCAAAATGTTAAAATTATATTCTGCGCGAATTTCCACAGCATCGAAGGCAATATGTCTATGAACTATACATAATATGTGCACGAAATACGTTAAGAATATGAGTGATATCAGAACTTCAATAATTAAGTGATACATGATATGATTTCTCAATATTTGGAACTGATTAAGAATACGTCATTGCAATTATAATTACATTATAAACTTATTTTTTACAAATTTATAAATATTATTAAAACAATCTCTTGGTACATATTTTATTAAATTTACCAATAAGGAATATAAAAAAATATTCTATTTTAACTATTATTCTAATTAACTACTATTCTAATTAGAAATTATGACAAGAAAATATGCAAAGTATTTTTTTATATTATCGCCCACAAATATTGCAGAATAATTTTAATTTTAGCATCTTTTTCGCTGAAATTAAAAATTTTTCATAATTCAAAACGATTAATGATTCGCATGTTAAGCATTTTTTTACATTCTAATAATATTTTGTCAAAATTAGGACATTGTAAATACAAGATTATTTCTTATTTTAGATTATAAGATAGAAATTCTATCTTTATTAAAATCTATTGCAACGTCTAAATTAAAACAAAGTCAAATTTGATTTCTGCTAACATAAATTAT